TTTTATTTCAATTTTAAGTTTAGACATTCTAGTACATCAGGTTAAATTAAAATAATATGAGAAATTTTGGCTTTGACAACCAGCTGAAATAAATAATAATTTTTTTATGGTTTTAATTTTAGTTTCAGTTTTAGTTAATAACCCTTTTTTAAGTGTCTTAAAAATATAATTTAAAAATTTTAATTAAATAAATATATTACAAAATCCTTGAGGTGATTATAAAAGTACCTGATTCGGCTTACAAATATACAAAAAACTCATGCAAATATGATAAGCTGAAAACAGTATAATCTTCTAGCATAATTCTGCTGAAGGTAAAGTGATATGACGGCTCTGAATAAACGTGTATTACTCTCTGCACATGTACTGCAGTATACAGTATGCTGCATTGATAATTGACGCATAAATTATTGGTGTACAGACTTGCATATAAACATTTAGAGTATTTTGAGGATTCAAAATAACATGTGATGAAGTTATGTTAGCTGACCTTGTCCTGAAAACTGTTTAACTGTTTTCAAGGATAGAACATATAGAAAGGACAAAGAAAGGGCAGATGATGTGTTCAGAAACGGAAGAAAAATAAAGCAAGCAGTGATGGTTAAAGAGTCGGAAGTGTTTTGTCCTTGATTCTATTTTTCTCCAGCCTCCTTGTCCTTATTTCACGGGTAGAAAGGGTCAGCTATTATAAAGACAAAAGAAACTATGAGATCTGAATTAAAAAATGCAAAGATAACACTGTCTACACGACACATGCAAGCTGACAATTATAAGCTTGACAATTATAATCAATGGAGTTGTCTGCACTGCAGGTATTCCATAAAGGAAGACTGTTTGAGAGAGACTGTGTGTGTGTTTGCCCTAAAGCAATATTTCTGCAGATTGCTGTTTTTTCTTCCATTGACCTGTTTTGCAAATTAGGCTACTGTGCCATGCTAATGTGCCATACTTAGTGAAGAACTGTAATTTAATATGTGCAAAAATGAATCGACAGCAATAGTCAAACATGATGTTCTGGATGTAACTTTTACATGTCACATACTCTACAGCTCACAAGTTTGGGGTCGGTTTTTATTTTCTGCTAATCAAGGCTGCATTTATTTGATCAGAAATGCAGTAAAATAGTACAATTGTGAAATATTATTACTATTTAAAATAACTTCTATTTGCATATATTTTAAAATGTAATTTATTCAAGTTGTGATCAAAGCTGAATTTTCAGCATCATTACTCCAGTCTTCAGTGTCACATGATCTTTCAGAAATCATTCTAATATGCTGATTTGCTGCTCAAGAAATATTTCTGATTATCAATGTTGAAAACAGTTGTGCTGCTTCATATTTTTGTGGAAACTGTGAAGATTCAAGATTCTTTGATGAATAGAAAGTCCAGAAGAACAGCCGATTATTTTCATACAAGAGGTACAAAAGTTTTCTTTTCACTTTTCACAGAAAACATGATTTCATAGGTCTGACGTGTATAGATATTTAGACTGTTAAGTGTATTTGCTTTGGCTTTTTAGTATACAGTTCTTGAGTCTTTGGTCAGTCTGGGGTTCATAGGCGGGTCAAAGAAAGGCTAAATATTAGTATAGAGTTCGTTGAGATCTTTTGCAAAGTTCCCAAAACAAATGATAAGATTCCTGAGCTACCAGCTGAAAGATACAGCCAAGGAATCAGACACAAAACAAATACTGAGAATTCCCGTCATCTTTCACAGCAAAACATTCTGTTTCATTCTGTCAAAGGATCTCACCAGCTGTATGCAGAAATTAAAACCACTTTTTAAGTAAAAAAAAACAAAAAAACATTAGGGCATGTGGAAATATGAGGATGAAATTTCCCAAAATGCCTCCAAGGGAACAGCAACACCTGATCAAACCCTCCAAGGGACATTCTCCATGAGGAAAAATAATGATTTAATCGGTGGTGTTTGCTTAATGTTGCTCATAGTCAGAGATTTGAACAAACCACTATTCCTACATATTAAACTTAAAGGGATAGTTCACACAAAAATGAAAATTACCCCATGATTTACTCACCCTCAAGCCATCTTAGGTGTATATGACTTTATTCTTTCAGACGAATACAATCAGAGTTATATTAAAAAATATCCTGGCTCTTCCAAGCTTTATAATGGCAGTGAATGGGTGCTGAGATTTCGAAGCCCAAAAAAGTGCATCCATCCATCATAAAAAATACTCCACACAGCTCCGGGGGGTTAATAAAGGCCTTCTGAAGCGAATAGATGCATTTGTGTAAGAAAAATATCTTTATTTAAAACTTTATAAACGTAATCTCCAACTTCCGCTAACTGTCGTACTCGTGTTCACGAGAGTGGCGTTCCAGTCAATGACGTAGGAATAGTGTAAGCTATAAATATAGTTTTTAAATTGAAAACTTATTTCAAAATATTACTGTTTACTGTATTTTTGATCAAGTAAATGCAGACTTGGCAAGCATAAGAGAATGGAAGATGACCTTGAAGATGATTTTCATAACATTTTAGGGGATTTACATGCAGCGTGCACACACTGTGTGTTCGGTATCATCCGATGCTCAGATGAGTCACTGATGAGGTAATTCTGTAGGGCCATAACAGTGTGTGTGTGTGCGCAACACAAATGCAAACACTCATGCTGTTCATAAATAATTTAGGAGATCGTCATAGCAACAGGACATTCACACAGCACTAATCTGCTGGTTCAGAAAGGGCATTCTTAGAGTCAGCATACCTTATTATACATGTGATCTGTCCGCTGCTCGTAATCTGGCTCACAAGACGCAGTAACTGACATTCACACAGCACTATTCTGCCGGTTCAGAAAGGGCATTCTTAGAGTCAGCATACCTCATTATACATGTGATCTGTCCGCTGCTCGTAAACCGGCTCACAAGACATAGCCGCTTACTCATCAGTTCATATGTGACCATCTGCAAACAAGTGTAATGTGTGACTGGTGCCACAGTAACTCTGCATTTAAACATAGCAATAGTCTGGGACTAGATCGGAAGAAAATGTGGACTGTGCAAAACTTGCCACTGAGATGTTTGGGTGCTATGGGTGGTTGGCAGGGCATTGTTGTTTTTTTTGTGAAAAGAAATTAATACTTTTCTTTAGCATAGACACGTTAAACTGATCAAAAGTGACAGCAGATACATTGAAAATATTTCTATTTCAAATTTGCAAATGTTGTTCTTTTGAGCTTTATTTTTGTCAAAGAATTCTAAGAAAAAAGTTTCAGTTTTAACAACAAATATTAACAATTTTATTGTATATTTGATCAAATAAATGCAGCGTCCTTTCAAAAACACTCTAAACTCTTACTCTCTAAAAAACTCAACCATGAATAATGCTTCGCAATAAAGTTCTTTGCTGAGCCCAAAAGTGCTGTAAAAATAATTTTTAAGAGTTTGCCTCAATGGAATAGAACTAATGACTCTGTAAAATGAACATAAATGAATTCAGACTTACAAAAAGGTTGATGATTTGTCTCTTGCTCTGTGATTGTAGAATTCCATGAATCTTCCACCTGACAAAGTGAAGCTGCTCTGTCAGTACGACAACGAGAAGAAATGGGAGTTAGTGTGTGACCAGGTGAGTTCAGGGCAAAAACATAAAAACATTTACCTTTTACACATTTTCATTTACCATAAAGCTGTTTTTACTACCCTAAACCACATATCACACCATTAAAGGGGACATATAATGAAAAACACAATTGCCCTTGCTCTTTAAAAACTAAAAAAAAACAAAAAAAACTTTCTCTCCAGTTCACCCAGAGCATTTATTGAAATGAAATCACGTCACCACCATATGACCACATAAATATATAAATAAATATTCAGCAAGTGGCTGGCAATCATAGCATTTACACATCAAAGCCTTAAAGGTACAGAAACATTAAAGATCATGAGGGTGGAAAATGTTTATGAAAAAAATTATTTAAACTGCTTCTGATGCAAGAAATGTGACTAATTGTATATGTGGTCTGAAAAAAGTGCAGAAAAAAAAATCCTCTTTAAAGCTGAGATTACTATTCCTTCTGGTTTCTCTCATCAGGAACGGTTCCAGGTGAAGAATCCCCCGTCAGCATACATTCAGAAACTTAAGAGTGTATTAGAGCAGGGAGGAGGCAGAAAGGTACAGATATATGTTTGTGTGTGTTTAAATCTGAGAGTGAGATACAGAGCTTGTCTAGTTATTATTAAACTGAAATATGTAAATGATTTTAATTCATAAAATTATATGTGTGTGATTTGTAGTTTAAAAGGCGAGTCCAAGAATCCACACAAGTTCTGAGAGAGTTGGAGATCTCTTTGCGCACCAATCACATCGGGTAAGAGCTATCACATGACATGCAATGTTATTGACAATGCATGTTACTGGCCTGATTACATAATACATGAATAGACTTTTTTAAACTTAAAGTTTATCACGTTAAAGGAATAGTTCACCCAAAAATCACAATTTGCTGAAAATGTACTTACCCTCAGGCCAGCCAAGATGTAGATGCGTTTGTTTCTTCATCAGATTTGGAGAAATGTAGCATTACGTCACTTGCTCATCAATGGATCTTCTGCAGTGAATGGGTGCCGTCAGAATGAGAGTCCAAACAGCTGATAAAATTCCCCAAATAACCCACACGCCAAATCTGTCATTAAGAAGTTTTTTACTTCAAACCACTGTTTCTGGCTAAAATAAGAGTCCTCTATCCATAATATTGCTTTCTCCATCCATTGTGTCTGCCTAAAACAGCCTTGTCTGAATCAGAAGAGAAATATGCACAGATTACCGAATGCACAAATCACTGAGCATCATTTACCAGTGAAAACAGTATAAAACAAATATGTTGGTGGATTTTGATGGGAAAGGATCGACTTTTTCAATGCAGTATGGATTATTATGGATTATAGACACTCATTCCGATGGTACCCATTCACGACAGAAGGTCCATCGGTGAGCAAGTGATGTAATTTTAATTTCTCCAACATTACATTCTCCAAATTTGTTCCCACGAAGAAACAAACTCATCTACATCTTGGAAGACCTGAGTAAATGGTGAGTAAATTTTCAGCTAATTTTCATTTTTGGGTGAACTATTCCTTTAAATGCAGGTTTCTGAAACCTGGAAGTCTGGAAATATCTGTGTCGACACTGGACTGTAATTACTTTGTCACTCATAATTGATCTCAATTGTGCTCCTTTTGTTCTTCATTGTATTGTTCTCTCTGTCTGTTCAGGTGGGCTGAGGAGTTTCTAAATGAAGAAAACAAGGGTTTAGACGTGCTAGTGGACTACCTCTCTTTTGCTCAACGTGCAGTCACGTATGTATACACACACACACACACACACACATTGTCCAAGACACAATAGAGGAACCTAAATTCTTAATGTGACAAGGCGTCTGGGAAGAGAACATGTTCTGACCATCCAAAGTCTGAAACCAGGCCTCTGATGCCAGTTAGCTAACACTGCTATTATATTCATCAGCCTGAGCAACAACAAAGCAACACTATATGGCGGTCAAACTACTTTTTGATGATTTTAGTAGAATTGTATCACCAAGGCTGTATTTATTTGTTCAAAAATACAGTAAAAAAACTGTAACATTGTGAAATATTATTACAATTGAAAAAATAAATCTGTTGTCTATTTGAATATATTTTAAAATGTAATTTATTCCTGTGATGCAATCTTCAGAGTCACACGATCCTTCAGAAATTCTTCTAATATGCTGATTTGTAGCTCATTTCTTATTATTATCAGTGTTGAAAACAGCTGTTTAATTATCATGGAATCATAAGACAGACGCTTACTGTGTTTTACAGATATGACATGGACAGCTCTGATAATGGAAGCTTTGAAGAGAAATCTGTGGAAGATTTGACCACCAGTGCGACAAACTCCCCTACCCACAATTCCCCACGCTCAGGAAACCCCTTCACCACAAGGTCAGTTATGGAGTATAAACCACTCTGAAATTATGAATTATACATTTTGTTTCTTATTTAAGCCATTTTTAGATCTATATGTCATTTGTTCTGAAGTTCTTTGGTCCTGAACTGAAGAAGAAAACATGTTTCCGTATTATTCGCAAGTAATTGTATATTGAACATAACTTCTACATTACTATTTCCAGCTTCACACGCACTGACAAAAAAGTCTACAAAAAGAAACATACATTCACAGACCCATGCACACGTGCGAAACACTATCACTGTAACATCAAATATGTCTGCAATGTATTTTGAGGTCAAAACACGCGATCAAACACACACACACACACAAACACACCCATCCAATCACTTCTATCAGGATCAACTGCATTCATGTTACAGAGTTTGTTTGTTTGTGTGTGTCTCTGTCACATACAGTACTTTTACTATTAACGATTTTGAGATTTCCAGATGTTGCAGATTACACAATTACTTAGTTCTGCATTTAATTAATTAGATTATCTATAAAATATTGACTTTTTTTCCAATTTGAACCAAATCATCTATTTCTTCATACAGAATTTACTGTATATGTAAACATACATATCTATATCGCAATGAACGTGTGAGCAGGTTTCACATGATCTATCTTTACATAATATAATCAAATATAACAATAAAAAGAAAAAAATATATACAAAAAGAAAAATATGATGTATATTAGTAAATAAATAAAAATACTAAAAAGATGTTAAAATATTTAAATAAAATATAATCCCAAATAACATAATATAATAAAAAACTAATTATAAAAAAAAAGAAAAAATATAATATTAAAAAAATTAATATTGAATACAAATATTTATTCTTTTGCTCAGGAAAGCTCTGCGATATTCGCGTCTGCTCAGCCAGAAGAACCACCTGCACCTCTGCATCATGTGCCTCCGTGCCATCATGAACTACCAGGTACTTCTCATCTCTTGCTCCTCTAATCTCGTCTCGTCTCATCTCTTTTCTTGACTAATGTGTGTGTGTGTGTGTGTGTGTGTGTGTTAGTTAGGGTTTAATCAGGTGATGGCTCATCCCAACTGTGTCAATGAAATCACCCTGAGTCTCAACAACAAGAATGCCAGGTGAGAAAACAGTCTGTGTGTGTGTGTGTGTGCGTTTTGAATGTTTTGTTTCTACAATATTGTACTTACATACATGTGTGTTCATGTTTAGGACTAAAGCTCTGGTTCTGGAGCTCCTTGCTGCTGTCTGTTTGGTTCGAGGAGGTCACGAAATGATTATTGCAGCCTTTAATAATTTCAAAGAGGTAAGAAAAGACTAGCCTTCTTTCTCTGTTCATCCATCTCACTCTTCTTATCATCATCATCTCTCCAACTTCAATGTGTCTCCTTGGTCTTATTGTGTACAATTCAACTCTGTGGGGAGAAAAAACAACAACAAGAAATATATCTTAATCAAAAAATAAATAAATAAAATATACCAAAACATAGTGAAATCAAAAATGTTCTAAAAAGAATAAAAAGACAAATATTGTAATATTAAATATATATTATAAAAAATACTAAAAAATATATTATAAAAAATACTAAAAGGTTTGTCTTACCAAATTCAATCAAATATACCAAATCATAATGTAATAAAAAATACTATAATATGAAAAAAGGAAAAAATATTATAATATTAAATGTCATAAAAATAATAAAAATAAAAAGTTGTGTTTAATAAAATATGATGAAATATCAAAAATAATAATTATTTTTTAAATAATAATAAAGTTTGTTTTAATGAAATGTAATCAAATACAATATACCTAAACATATAATAATAACAATAATAATCAATAATAAAAAATGTACAATACTAAATATGTATTATAAAAATAATAAAAAAGACAAAAGTTAAGTAATAAAATATAATCAGATATAATATACCAAGACATAATATAATCAGACAAAATAAATCCAAATAAATTTCTTAATTCTTAAAAAAAGAAAAGAAAAAAACGTCATTCATTCATACATTTTTAAGTATGGCTTAACTGTCCAAATACTTTTTAGGACCACATACATGAGTAATAATATTCTAATATAATATGTGAAAAATATTTACATTTCATCAGAAAATGTCTAATAGTTTAATTTCAAGGATATAAAACCTAACCCAAACTCTTTAGTTATTCTCTCAGACGCTGAATGAACGCAGACACGTGATGAGATACAAGTGTCTGATCTGCTATTAAACTCAAGTAACCTGAAGCTCATTCTGTGATATCAGCCGTTACACCCGTCTGCACATGACAAAACTAGATCATACACAGCTCGCAACCTCATACATTCACACAGACGTCATTTTGAAGGACTGTGCGTTTATTGTCACAAAGACATTTTGTGTGGGAGATGATTCAGATGCATATCAGTGACAGCAGAAAGGACTACGCAAACTAGAGCTAAAACCGAAACAAATAGACCTTCCCTTAGGGATTTCCTCATTGTTTCTGTGAATCCACATACTTTGCATAAAAATGTAACACGGCCTTCCTGTAGCAAGAACTAATAACTAATAACTGTAAAAAAAAATCTGTGACATTTACTGTAAAAAAAAAAAATACGGTGGTTGCCAGAACTTCACCGTAAAAAATATGGTAGCAACATTTTAGGTTTTACAGACTTGACTTAAATTCACAATAAAATACCGTATTTCATTAACTGATGTAATGTTAATAAACCAACACACTGAAGTACTAATATCTGTTTTGAACCATTGTAATGTACTGATAACCACTAAAAACTGGTGGTGATGAGAAAGTCACGTGATGAACCAAAGCTCATCACAAACAGAGTCTAGTCATCAGAGTGTCCTAAAAAATGTATCATGGTTTCCAGAAAAAATATGAAGCAGCACAACTGTTTTCAACATTGATAATAATCAGAAATGTTTGTTGAGCAGCAAATCAGCATATTAGAATGATTTCTGAAAGATCATGTGACACTGAAGACTGGAGTAATGATGCTGAAAATTCAGCTTTGATCACAGGAATAAATTACATTTTGCAATATATTCACATCGAGAACAGTTTATTTAAATTTTAAGAATGTTTCACAATCTTAGTTTTTACCGTGTTTTTGATCAAATAAATGCAGCCTAAAATGCAGTCTGAATGGTTTTGTGTGTGTAGGAGTTAACTGTCACTGAGAGCGAGAAGCTGCAGGTGCAGATTCAAGCGTATCTGGATAATGTGTTTGATGTCGGAGCGATGCTAGAGGACGCCGAGGCCAAAAACACAATAATGGAACATCTAGAGGAGCTACAAGAACAAAACACACAGGTACACACACCCAAAACACACACAATTACTGCAACCTATATTGATAGAAATCTGTCCTAATATAGTTCTGATATAAATGTTTTCAAGTACATATATACAGTATCTGCTGTTTGACTACAACAATAAAAACAATATGCATTATATATAATAATAAAATAATAATGCATCTATCTATCTATCTATCCTGTACAGCACTTTGGTTTAATTCTATTTTGGTTTAATACCACATATTGCACATCATATTCATTTATGTAAATGAATAAATATACACACTAAATCATATTAAAGCATTCAGTGTATGTTGTGTATATCAGTTAAACACTAGACTGCAGCAGTGTGAGAGTGAAGCTGTGGAGAAGACGTCCGAACTCGAGAAACAACTCATACAGAGTAGGAAAGAGGTGGAACTTCTGAAGGTAACACACTTTACTAAAACACACACACACACACACACACACACACACACACACACACACACACACACACACACTTACTTTTACTCCTGTTTCCAGTCTGTGAAGCTTTTTAATGTGTGTTTCCAGGACAGTGTGAAGGAGACACAGGCTCAGCTCTCTCAGCTGCAGCAGAAGGAGAAAGAGAGAGAGACACACAGTGAGAAAGAGCAGGAGCGAGAGAGAGACAGACAGCGCTCCGCTAAAGCTCTGACCGAGCTGGAGAAGATGGTCCAGGTTCTGGTGGATCGAGGTCTGATCCGCATGGACAGATCCGAATCCGGCTCTCTGGAATTACACATTATGCCAGTCGCTAACACAACAGGTGAAGATCCAAAAATACATATAACCACTGTTACTATTACATCATCACTTACATCAATTTCTTCATAATTTCTATAGAATTCTAATGATACTTTTGTATTTATAAAAATGTTCTATATACTTTTGTATCATTTGTGTAATCTGTTGAAATGTGTTTAATTTTTCCAAACAGGGTTATTATCGTTAACTAAAACTAAAGCAATACAATAAAATAAATATAAATAATGAATAGATAAAAAAATAAATAAAAAGAATTTGCAATGTAAACATTTAAACAATTTGTAATGTAAAAAATGTAAACATTTTATTTCCGCTTTAACATTTCTCATTTTCATTTAGTTTAACTCGATGTACTAAAATAACTAAAACTGAAATAAAAATTACCATAAAGAATAAAAATTACAAAAACACAATCAAATTACAAAAGCTAACTAACAACTTTTTTTTTTGATTAAAATTAAAACAGAAAATGTAAAAATCAAAACTAATTCAAAATATTAACAAAACCTATAATAGTAGTTCAGTTATACTAAAATACAGTTAGACAAAAGTTAACCTAATTAATTAATTTTATACAGTTATATATAATATAATATAATATATGTGTCCTGAAGCAAAACAAGTGAACAACCACTTCTTTGTACAATTTTATAGATTATTATAAAATCTTATTTATTTTGAAAACTTCTAGCAATATAATATATGCTTAAAAAAAAATAATTATCTTCTCTTTTAAGTCCAAGATAATAGTACAACAGAAATAAAGGCCTCACCTGTGATGCAGTCCATATATAAAGCTTTGCTTCTTTGTGCTTTTTGCTTCTTGAAATATATTGTTTAATTATTTATAAAATATTTTTTATATAAACTGTTTAAAAATTAATAGAATTTTTGTTTTTAATATTTATACATTTTATTTAATTTTTTATTTAAACGCATTAAACAGGGCCACCTAAAAATAGAGTTGTTAGAAACATTTGTAGCTTTTTTCTTTAAATATATTTTTGAATTATTTATAAAATATATATTTATATAGAAAATATTCTAGACATTTTTTTTTAATAAATGTTATTTTAACAAAAAAACTGAATGTTTTAGGGCAAGTCTTACCCTCTTTGTTTGTGTGATTATAACCTGGCTAAAAGGAATGCATGAAACAGGGCCACCTGTTTTAATATTTATCAATTATACTTTAAAGGGGTCATATGATGCTGCTAAAAAGAACATTATTTTGTGTATTTGGTGTAATGAAATGTGACAGCGGCGGCAACAACAATACTACAGCGAGAATAAAAGTTACGCCTTCTTTCTTTGCGTGAACATTTGGGCAGCGTTATGCAAATCTTCCCACATAGTGATGTAGATATGTGGGGGCGTGTTAGAACGAGCCGTTTTAGGAGGGTGTGGCTGACTCTTAACTTTTATAAAGAATATCTCTTTGGATTTGAGACTTTAGTCTTTGCAACTTTACAGATCTTCTTTATGCACCAAGAGCTTGTAACACTCCAAAGAGAAAGGAAAAATTGAAATCGCATCATATGACCCCTTTAATTTAAAAAAAGCCAACTTTTTAAGGGGTAGTTTTTGGAAATGCATGAAATAGGGTCTCCTGAAAATACAGTTGTTAAAAACATTTGCTTTATTATAAAACATTTTAAAATGAAATGTTTTTAATATTCATGTTTTTTTTGCCATTTCTTCTTTAAATATATTTGTTAATAATTTATAAAATATGTATATATACAATATTTAAAAGAAAAATACATAATTCTTGTTTTAAACATATATACATGCTATTTTAATGTAAAAAATAAAAAAAAAAAGCTAAATGTTTTAGGAATAATCTTAAGTGGTTGGAATTAGCTCAACATTGATCATCAGAGTTTATTTGAGAAACTAAAGCTGATGTCACTCAACTCCCTGTCTTTGCTCTGTCTGAAGGAGTTGAATATGGACGTCTTCGAGGAGTTGTTCAAAACTAAAGCTCAGTCTGCTCCTGTTGATGTCGGCACTCTGAAGGTGAAAGTGGCGCATAAAGCATCCAGTAAAATCGCACTACTGGAGCCCAACAGGGCCAAAAACCTCGCCATCACGCTGCGCAAAGGAGGCATGAGCACCGCGCAGATCTGCACTGCGATCCAATCGTGCGTACAACACAATTTTGATGCAACCAAAATGTGCATGTTTCAAACTAATCCCAAAGCTCTCTGTGTGCAGGTATAATCTTGATTTGCTAAACTCAGACTTTCTGGAGCTGCTGGAGCGTTTCATCCCGTCTGATTATGAGCTGAGGTTGATTGAGAAATACGAGCGTGAAGGACACCCCCTGCTGGAGCTGTCGGAGGAGGACCGATTCATGGTGGCCTTCAGCAAAATCCCGCGTCTGGCACAGAGAATCAGCACGCTGACCTTCATGGGCAACTTCAGCGAGAGCATCCTGCTATTAAAGCCTGTCAGTATATATATTAGCAAAGACGCTTCAGTCCTATTACTTATGAATGGGAGAAACTGCAATGCACCCGCCTTCTGATTTAAACAGCCAATCGCTGATTGGTAAAGTCATTGCGTCACAGCAGCTGCTGTTTGAAGCTCGGTCTAGCTTGAAAAAAAAAAGCATTTTTAATGCTATTTAAGCATAAGGGATAACATTCACGGGGCAGTTAATTTCAGATTTTGTTGCTGATTTGAAATATATAATTTAATTGTGAGATTTCAGGATAACCCCATTCATTTAGATAGGCCTTGGTGAACAGACTTTCCTTGAAAGGGACTGTGATATTAGGAGGATGCATACTTGAATTTAACATAAAATTAAAATAAAAAAAAATAAAAAAAAACTGTTCTTATTTTACAGCAATTAAATGCCATCATCGCTTCATCCATGTCAATCAAATCCTCCAGCAAACTCAAGAAGATTCTAGAGGTAAGGAGAATTCATTTTCATCTGCATAAAATAATTTCTGCAGTGAAAGCTGATCTTTTTTTTCTTTTTCTAGATCATTCTTGCGTTTGGGAATTACATGAACAGTGGGAAGAGAGGATCAGCATATGGATTTCGACTCCAAAGTCTGGACCTGGTGAGACAAAACATCTTTACAAAAATGAGATTTTGGCATATAAAGCAGATTTACAGTTTTAGTTGATCAGTGTCACTTCCAATATCTATCTTTTCAATAGATGAGTCACATTGTGTTTATACACTGAAAAGAAAATGTAGTAGGATTTGCTATGAAACAGTTTTCACTCAGAAAACCGCAGTACATCTTACAAATAACAAATATTTGTAATATTTTGAAGTAAAAAAAACCCTGAAATAGTGTTTTCTTGTAACAAAAAAATAGTGCAATAATCTTTATTTACAACTTAGAAAAATCATTTTTAGAGTGTAATTTTAGCTAATTTTGTGTCATAAATATACTGTGTGTGTGTGTGTATATATATATATATATATATATATATATAGGGTAAAATAAATGCATGTCTCATTTGCTTTTGTTTAATTGTATTTTTTTATCATGTATGTCATGTAAGCTTATTCAATTAAATTAAATAGCATATTTGACTTACACATGAAATACACATAAAATATTTACATTTATGCATTTGGCAGAAACTTTTATCCAAAGTGACTTACATTGCATTAAATCTGATCAGTTCATGATAAATGATTTGTCAATTTATCGCGCATCTCTCACATTTTGGCTCTCAGCTTCTGGACATGAAATCCACAGATCGAAAACTGACACTCCTGCATTTCATCGTCAGCATCATACAAGAAAAATATCCTCAACTGCACAACTTTCACACTGAACTACACTGTCTGGATAAAGCTGCTCTGGGTGAGCGTTGCACATGAACACATTCACATCAACTCTCCACTACAACTCTAAGTGTGTATTATTTTTTAATTATTTCTAAAATATTTTAATCTAAAATATTTTTTAAAAGTGTAATATATTTTAATTTATTATATTTGTAACTTTTATTTTAATTAAAAAAATAATAATTATATAAAATAAAATAATAAAATCAAATAAAATAATGAAAGCTGTATATTTATACACTGACCTGCATGTTTCTCTCAGTCTCTCTGGACAGCATCCTTGCAGATGTTCGCTCTCTGGAGAAGGGAATGGAGGTGGTTCGTAAGGAATATCTCCAGCAGAAAGACAGCGCTGTCCTCACAAACTTCATGTCCAATAACGGCAGTCTGCTGGACTCTGTGGTCAAAGACAGCAAAACTGCAGAGGTGGAGATGAGTTCAGTTCTGTGTGAAATCTTTTCTGAACAGCAGTGAATAATGGCTTCTACATGACTGGATCGTCTGTGTCTCTCTACAGGAGGTCTATCACTCAGTGGTGGAATATTTCGGAGAGGATCCCAAATCCACACCTCCTTCTGTGTTCTTCCCTGTTTTTGCCAGGTTTATCAAAGCATATAAGGTGATGAAATTATTACCCAGTGCTTATTTCACATCAGCATATATCATACTGGTAATGAGAGATTAAAATCACAAAGACACGCAGAAAAAAATTAGGTGTAGAAATTATTTTGCACCAAGTTTCACTTAGAAATTGCTAATAAATTTCACAAATAATTACAAAGAAATGGCAAGTAACACATTGAATTAAAATTTTAAGTGGAAATGGTATTATAAAATGTACTCCATAATTTTTGTTTTATTTACAACCTATTTATTTATTACAGTGCATTAACCCTACATGAAATGATCTGATAAATTAGTTCTGTTTGTTTCAAAACCTTCATATGACATATGAGTATTATTTAAATTTTACTGGTTCTGGTTTAAAATGACTGGTTTTGACAATATACAAATTAATAGTCTTAATTTAAAATCTGTATATATATATATATATATATAATCTGAGTATATTTAGCACAACATAAGCCAGGGTTGTTATTGTTAACTAAAAAAAAACCTATTAAAATTGTTTTCAGTAATCATAATAAAGCTGAAATAAAATAAATGATAAATAGTAGATTTAAAAACCTGAAAATTAGAAATGTTGCTTTGGCAACTAACTGAAATAAAGTACTAAAATTACTAAACTAAAATAAAAAATTAAAACAAATGATAAATATTTAAATACTGCTACTACTAATTAAGCATTAGCGTTAGTTCTGGCAGGTCACGTGAGTCAAGCTTGCATCAGCTGATTCTCAGCTGATCACATCTACCTATAGGAATACGACACCTATCACTGCATTCCTATATAAGCTCTATTCAGTATTATTCAGCAGCTTTTCAGCTTGCTCAGGAGCAAATTACCCTTCTCCATCCCCAGCTCCTCCTTTTGCCACAGTCAGGACTTGGCTTTCTGATATTCCTTGCTAATCAGACTCCTTTATCTTGAATAAAGTGTTACACTTAAATATTAAGTACATTAATGATATCTGCCTTGTTCTGTTCTGTTAACCCTAGGGGGGTTATTATTGCTGCTCTTCCTGCTCATTCATGACAGGCTGCATGGATGGGCAGGGAGTTTTTTGCCCAGAACAGAACCATACCGCCAAACCAAACGTTATGCTAAGTATCTATCATTTTGACGATAGTGGTCCTGACAGAACTACTAATAATGACTAAATAAAGAATACATAAGAACAAGAATATATAAGAAAATGACTAAAACTTCAAAATAAAATCAAAAACAAAATTAGAAAATTACAAATGCTGCTTTTGGTAACTAACTGAAATAAATAAGTTTTAAGTAATAAAATTACTAAAACTACAATAAACATACATTTAAAAAAAATTATAAATAAACAAATCATAAATTCCGAATAAATTATAAAAGAAGAAGAAAAATGACAAAAACCGATAAAGACAACTTCAAAAATTAAAATGAAAACTGAAAAAAAGCTTAATAATACTATAAGTATATATAAATAATACTACAATATCTTATAGAGGTTATTTCAACAATAGTTACTTCAAAAACCCACGTGAAGATCCCACCTCTAGCATACTATTTCTAACACCAATCCTTTTCTCCTGATCTAGTATATAGACAGTATGTGACTTGTTTTCCAGTCGTTCCTCCAGCGTGCTGACTGATGGATGAGTCTCTCTTTCTCTGTAGCTGGCCGAACAGGAGAAGGAACAGCGCAAGAAGAACATCTCCGAGACTGATTTCGGCACAGATTTACACATCTCTGACTCTCCTGTGAACACTGCAGTGACTAATAGGGTAACATGCGACAGACAGAGACAGAAATCCCGGAGAACAGGAAGTGAATATCAAGGTCTCACAGGTTTGTTGATGTGTTCAGATGCCGGCGCTGCCACGCTTCCCTCAGGTGGATCTGATCGCAGAGCTGAAGCGCAGGCAGATGACGCCGCTCGTGAGAGAGGGCAAAGACGGAGCCATCGAGGACATCATCACAGGTCAGGCTGAGCTAGACTTACAGACAGAAAACCAGCATAATCAAAGCATCCCGCGACGAAGCCACACCACACATGAAGCCAAAAACAGTTTACAAGAAACATTTAAACAGCTACATTAAACTATTTGAATGTAAATTATAAAAGCTCAACTATTTATGTACAATTTAGCAAACAACTTTATGGTCAATCTCAAGAAACCTTTCAAGAATGTGTGCTTGTATATTTCATATCTCACCCCAAAATTTAAAAAATGTAAGAAATGTGAAGAATTTGAACATGCTTGTATATTTAATACTCTGCATCAAAATTAAAGAGAAAAAAAGAAATAAAAAAATGAAAACGTGCTTGTATATTTCATATTTGTGACCCTGGAGCACAAAAGCAGTCTTAAGTCGCTGGGGTATATTTGTAGCAATAGCCAA